AGAGTTACTGTTATTTTCTATAAATAAACTTGATAATTAGTTCTCAATATAAAACAAACAAAAATCAATAAGTGATTCTTTTGTCACTATGGCAAAAAAATCAGGTTAAAACTTGAGTATTTTTTCCGATTGGTACTAATAACAACATTTTTTTTTCTTTCATTGTGTTATTGAATCATTGCAATTTCCGTTGTGTCCATTAAACGCATAATCAATTATGATTATTGTCCTAAAATCTAATTTCAATTAGATAGGCACAAAAAATAAAATAAATATATCTAATATAGGATTTTATAATACGAAAAAAGTACATCATTATACTAATATAAACATTAACATGGAATAGTAAGTATGTCTACTTTTATTATTAATACGAGCATGCATGTCAATTTGCATTTCCGGTAATAAATCTAACTCCGCTATTCTTCAACATACCTAAACAAGATTAAAGTTCCCATCACGAAATCATATATTCATGCACTGCTTCCAGAACAAAGTAACAACAATATAAAAAATTAATAAACAGAAAGACATTTTCTTTTTCTCAATATCTTAGAACTTCTATGAAGTTATGTAATAATATAAAATAAAGTTCTTCGAAAACAATCAATCTTCACATTCATATTTCATCCATCGAAAACAATTATAAAAAAAAACATAAACATACTTGAACTTGAATAGGCAATAATTTCTAAAACAATATATAACAAAAAAAAAATGACTGTCGTACAAAAGTAGTCTGAAACTTTTTATTCTTAATTTTTTTAACACAATGCAGTGCATTTTTATAAACAGTGCGAGCAAAACATAGTCGTTAGGTCGCAGAAGTGTAAATTTCTAGTTATTTTTTTTTTCTCAATCATTTAGATATGGTCTGATAGGCCTTAACGAGTTGTTATGAACATATACCTTTTATCTTGATTCGACCGTTGTTGAGTTATAAAAAATATTAAAAATCTTGGATGCATAAGAACCTAGTATTTGTAATTATGAATCAGCTGTTACTACAAAAAATGTCGAGTTTCAACTATGTTTACTTTGCAAAATTTTAGAAAATATTATATTCTGAGTTAGCATTAAAAAACTGTATGAAGGAAAAAACGTTACATGAATAGATTTAGAGCAAATAAGATGAACAAAATTCTATCCAATATATATTTAGCTTTACCATGTCATAGCACATATTTTTGAATATTTTTATAAGCTTATCTAGTTTTTGTAAAGAGTGATAGAAGCAAGTGTCTTATGTCATTAGAATCCTCAGATCATGATCTACCAAAATTGTTGTTTAATATGTTTAGGTTCAAGTTTATTGTTGAGAAAATTGAATTGTTAGTTGCATTGAACGGCAAAATCAGATAAAAGAATGAAAAACATGCTCGTGTTAATCGATTTTTATTACCATAGTTGAGTTAAAAAACGGAATAGATTGCATATTTGAAAGCAGCCAAAAAAAAACTGGATAAGATAATATATGTTTTGAAGAGACTTTGTTTTCTGCAAACTCCTTCCTCACAGTGTACTATTAGACGAACATTTGGTTACAAGAAAATCATACATTTTCAACATTTAGTTCGAATAAGGGTATAAATAACTTTGTTATAGCTCTCAAACAAACTGGAATACAATTTGTCCAATAATTAGCCTGAAAATCGCGATACCACAGAGAAAATTGATATCTAAATTTAGAGTATTCAACAGATCAATCAAATACGTTTTTCGAATCTACAAGCCAAGCGCTATACAATAGTTAGATTTTTTTTTCTATAGTGTCATCCGAACGATTAGTCTCGTACAATCAGTAATCCACACAGATTTAACCTCCAAACTTTTCTAAACTTTGGTCAGACTCTTCTCCTTCTACTGTGTCTAATTCCAGTGTGTTATATCGGACAACTTTTTCTCTCAAACAATATTTCTTTTTTTCTTAGAGATGCTTACCTGCGTTATATCCGATTCATTTCTGAACAAAGAAATCCATTTTCAAGCAAGAAAGTCACATGTCAACTTGCCATGAAAAAACTGTACTTTGTGCCTTGGCAGAATCAGGACAAAGTTTTAGAAAAAATGATGTGCTTATCTATTTCGTTTTTTAAATTAGCCATGATAGTCAAAATCGATTAATACGAATATTTTTTTTTTCTTTTTACTTTGATCTTGTCATTAAAGGGAAAAATTTAATTTTCTTAACAATACAGCAGAATTTAAAAAAAAGTACATAAAAGGTTTCGTAATCCAGGAGCACACGATTCTAATGAGATAAGACACTTGCTTCTATTCATTTTTACAAAAAACTAAATAGGTTGCCAAGAATGCTCACAAATACTTATTATGACGTATGTTCGACTAATGTATATCAAGCAGGATTCTTTTAATCTTATTTGTTTTAAATCAAATCAGCTAACATTTCTTATTCAATTTTTAATACTAATTCAGAATATAATATGTTCTAAAACTTCGTAAAATAAGCATAACATGTGATGCAAAAGTAATTGCACAAATGTCAATCTTTCTCTCTCTCTCTTTTCAATAAAAGGGTGTTGAAAGAAAATAGTTTTTACCAAAGATAGAGTCTTTTCTCCACTTATGAATCGTATATAACATATTTGTATAACATTTTCACAGACAAAACAAAGCAACAGAACAGAGAAATACCCTTAAACAGTATTCGCACTTTTTTGTGAGATCCAAAAACACGTCGCAAAATGTTGATCCCTATATCCGTTCGATAAATAAGTTCTGAAAAGAATATTTTTTTATCAGTTGATAGGAAATTTTCTCCTCTTTTGAGCAGTCTATGATTTATATTTGTCACACATTTATAAATGAAGTGACAGAAGGAAAAAAAGAGAAACATTCGCACAATAGATGCGTAATTTTTTACATGAAATGGTCAAAAACATCTTCTTAGACAGAAATTAATTCGATTTCTATGGAGCAATCAAAAAGACTTTGTAAAATGATAGTTTATTATGATTAACTATCATTTACAAGATGTTTTTGGCGAGTTCATATAAAAATTACAAACTTATTGCATGAGTGTTTCTTCTTTCTCTTGTCTCACTCATTTATCAATGGATGATAAATACGAATCATATACCATTCGAAAGAGAATAAAACTTTCCATTAATCTCATAAACAATTATTCTTTTCAGAACCTATTTATTGAAGGAATAATATAAAAATCAATATTTTATGCGTTCCTCTTATGAAAAAAAAGCAGATTCTCTTTTAAAGGTCCCCTATGTTCTTTTGCGTCGTTTCGTTTATGAACGTGTCATAAAAATAAGTTCCATATGTTTCCAAAAAAAAAAAGAGAAGACTCTATCTGTTGGTAAAAACAATTTTCTTTCAGAATCCTTTTATCGAAGAGAAATAGATGCCGATATATGTGCAATTACTTTTGCATCATATGTTAGTTGAAATTCGACATTTTTTCTAGCAACAATAGGCTCATCATTACAAATACTAATTAGATTCTTATTCATTCAAATTTTTCAATGTTTTTTGCAGCTAAAAAACATCAGTCGAATCAAAGTCATAGCTATATACTTACAATCAGTTCGTCAAGCTCTATTGGATCAAACATAATGAAATGGGAAAAAATTCACTCGATTTTTGCACTTCGACGACCTTATGATTAATAGAATTTGCGCAGTATGCTCGAAATACTTTGAATTAACTTAATAATATCATGAATATACGGCAAGACCAGTATTATTAGCTTCAAAATATGCTTCAAAAAGAAGAACATAAGAGATTTTTATCATGAAACGATTGAAATTCTGCTAACAAAGTTACAACGACTATTTAAGAGAGATGGGTCATGGGCCAATCGAGAAGTTCTATCATAGGAAAAGTGTTGAGCTATTTTTTAATCGTCACAAATGAAACACCATGCAAAAAACCTAGAAATTGAAAGTTTAGCCTGTTGTGAGTCACTTTTGAATAGATATGAAGGAAACATTGAACGTATCTTTATCAACCTCGTAAAATAATCATTATGTTTGTTGTGCTTTTTCTCATTCTTCTTACACGATTATTTTGCTCTCTAAATATCATGTTTATTAATTTGAGTGGTATCTAAAACGATGGAGCAAGTTTTGCTCTGCACAACTGTATACTTATATTTTCTGTAAACAATTTTTAAACATATCTATTGAGCGTGAATGTCCGAACAACGACAACAAAAACCTACGTAATAATTTTGAAAATTATTCTCTTTAGAAAAAATAATATCAAACAACATTAGGATCGACAGTGCTTTCTCATGTGTTCGATAGAGTGAACAAAATTGCACAAGATGCTCTTGAAAAAATAACAAAAAAATATGCATCGAGTTCTTGAATTTATCACAAAAGACAAAAGAACACTACTCTAATATAATACTTTTTTTCTGATACTGCCAAAACTTGTCAATTAAATGACAATATAATTTAAGACTTTTTCTCCATATGAAGACTAAACAATATAGAACATCTAGAATGGATTTTTTTAAGTTAATACGACAGTCGATAAATTAAATACTATATATAAAACAATAGATTCCGTTCAGCTCCCTGTAGATCTATTATAGTCAATATTCAATATGATCAAATGTCATTCATATCATATATTCGAATCATGTAATGAAGTTATTTCATGAAAAATACTACTATTCCTTTCTTTTTAAATATGCGTTCATACCAAAGAAAAAAGTGTTGCACTGTTTTCTCTCTCGTTGCATGACGTTCCGCTTTTTTAATCTAACATTGTATTGTTCATTCACTTCTCATTCAATCTCGTGTGGTGAAATTTTGCATCCGTTTTTTTCATAGTTAATTTTTGATATAAAATAATTACACGGATTTCCATACCATCAGAAGAATAATGTTTTCTCAAGGACGAACG